GGGGAAAGCAGGATTCTCCGATACAACACAACATGCAACAACCGAGTCACACTTGACGGAGAAGATTTGGAAAATGTAAAAACCTTTACATATTTGGGCAGCATCATCGATGAACATGGTGGATCTGATACAGATGTGAAGGCGCGGATCGGCAAAGCAAGAGCAGCATATTTACAACTGAGGAACATCTGGAACTCAAAGCAGCTGTCAACCAACACCAAGGTCAGGATTTTCAATACAATTGTCAAGGCAGTTCTACTGTATGGATCGGAAACCTGGAGAACTACGAAAGCCATCATCCAGAAAATACAAGTGTTTATTAACAGTTGTCTACGCAAAATACTTCAGATCCATTGGCCGGACACTATTAACAACAACGTACTGTGGGAGAGAACAAACCAGATCCCAATGGAGGAAGGAATCAGGAAGAAGCGCTGGAAGTGGATAGGACACACATTGAGGAAAGCACCCAACTGCGTCACAAGACAAGCCCTCACATGGAATCCTGAAGGTCAAAGGAAAAGAGGAAGACCAAAGAACACATTACGCCGAGAAATGGAGATAGACATGAAAAAAATGAACAAGAATTGGATGGAACTAGAAAAGAAGGCCCAGGACAGAGTGGGTTGGAGAATGCTGGTCAGCGGCCTATGCTCCATTGGGAGTAACAGGCGTAAGCAATTAAATCCTACAAGAAATAACAGGGATACGTAAGGTGGTCGTTATTGATTATGAAAGTGAGGAGGTGAAACACTGAACGAGTTAGTGGTTCCCTGTTAGGTTGAGAAAACCAGTTTGAAATGTTTTTACTCAATAAATTGAACAAACCGACATTCATATGGAAGCCGATTGTAAAACGTAGCTAATGCGAGAATTTAGGTCGAGTTGTTAAGAGTTGGACAAAATCTTCCGTTTAATTCCTCGTTTTGAGTAGGCACCACATTTTTTTGTCATATGTTGTGTTGAAACCTATTTGTGTTGGAAGAGTGAATCTCACATTCCAACTATACGGTTACACGATCCGAATAAAGTGCCTAATTAGTGGGCGGAAGCTCAGTTGATGAAGCTCGTTAATGTCAAGCAACAGGGTTATTAGTCTTTTGAACTTGGTGAGTTTCACAGTTACGGATAGGTATTGGCAACCTATTCCACGATAAACTATACCCCACTGTAAAAAACTTACTTGTTGGTTTTCGGTGTTTCACTGTAGGCAGGGTGTATGCTTTGTTTCTGAGTCTGTAGATTGGGTCATGGGTCATGGTTGGGCAGGAGGTTGGAAATGAGAGTCCATATATTGCTTTGTAGAGCAATATTAGATTGTTCCTTAGCCGACAGTTCCATAAAGGTTTTAAGGAGAGGTGCTTACATCTATCCCTGTAGTTGAGATTGGAGTCACATCCTAGCAGTCGGTGTGTGGAGCGTCTCTGGACACCTACTCTTATCTTGTGTGCGGTATTCATGTTTGAGAAAATAAAAAAGCAATATTCGAGAGAGGGTCGTATACATATCTTGTAATGGGTAAGACTGGCCTCTGTTGTGAAGAAATTTATTATTATGAAGCCAATTAGCCGTCTAGATTTAGAAATAATGAACGAGGCATGTTCTTCAAACTTTAATGCCTATACCATGCACTGACTTGAGCATTTAAACTGTGCATTTATTCATATAAAGTTTTAATTCATAGGGATGTTTTCCGAAATGCATGGTGCTACGCTTGTTGAGGTTAAATGGCAACTGCTACTTTTTGCTCGAGATAGTCAGGTTGTTGAGGTCACTTTGAATCAAGGTTACACTTGCACTTTGAGCTTCAGGGTCAAACCTGTATACTATTTTGAGATCATCGGCGGATGGTCTAAAGTTTATGGTGCCACATATATCGTTTATATACATAAGAAGCAAGAGTGGACCTAATACACTCCTCTAAATGACTCCATTAGCTATTGGTCTAGGTAATAAGAGGGTCATCGTACTTTTTACGTTCTGTTAAGAATGAAGCAAACCATGAGTAAAGTGTGTTGTTGACTCCAAAAGACTTGAGTTTGACAATGTTAAGATCATCACCTGAAGACGTTTCCTAATATACCCAGCGTTGTTGGTGAGGCCACTGGCAAGGACTAAGTCCATGATATTTTGATGTCTGGTAGGGCTACTGACATACTGAGTCCACTGTCCAAGCTCTAGGCATTCAATAATTGATTCATAACGTTTCAATGCCATGACTGGGAACCAAGAAATGCCAAGTCTGTTGAAGACAATATTGCTATCTCATCTATTGATGCGTCAGGTTGATGGTAGACATACTCGGACAGTAAGGAAATGGAACTCGAAATTCTTGAAGCAATTTACGCTGAATCCTGCAGCTTGTTTAGTTCAGATATGTCACATAACAGTGAGTATAAGCTAATGTGAGCGTCAATAAAGCACCTTCCTTCTTGTCCCTTCAACCTATCTCTTTGATTTAGGAAACGGTTATTAAGAGATATACTTAGGTCGGAAATATCAGTTAGTCCATGCTTCATATTCAATCAAAAATGATGGATGGTAAATGGACACAAACAGGGCTAAATCGGTTTTTCTATTACAGATAGAGCTAGCGTTGGTAAGACATATATTAAGCAGATGGCCCACAAAGTTAAAATAATTGAGAATAACTCGATTAAAGTTGTCATAGCCTCCAAGGTTGTGCTTTGGTTTTAAAGTGAGAGATTGGTTGTTCTCCAGTAACTCGTTATTTTGATCGCTAGAGTTAGAAAAGGATATATCAAATGAGCTAGTGAAGTTATTTGGAGAGTTTACCCAGGAGTAGAGGGTGGGAGTACTCTCTAATCGAAACCGTACGGAGGTAGCAAGTTTATGTTCCGCATGTGGTTTGAAATGATTTGGGCCATATGCTTCAACAGAGGTGCCACTAGGGGACGTATTCCAAAAAATCCGGTAAAGGCCGACTGTGAAGTGTGCTTTTATCTGAAAATAGTCTTCATAGTTAAGCTCATAGCTTCGGTTATAGCTATTTGCGTTAGCGTGAACGTCAGAAGAACCCGAATGTTATTATACAAGATGGCCATTTCTATGAAGTGGGTTGGTACTGAAGGATATGGAATGTTTTCTTTCTGAGAGTAACTACAGTTGGAATCCTGGTGAATGGAGATAAGATGTGGGCCGAGAAACCTATTATTACCATACTTATTAATGGTTCTATGCTTTAGGGGTGAGAGGAAAGATAAGCACTCCGAAAGTTTTGTTAGCCTGAGTGTAAAAATAGTTGTTATACTCAGGCCTACCACCGGTTTTTCAACGTAGAGCTGTTGATGGACAACCTGTTCGCAGTTGCTGGGTTACCTACGGAACTGTTGGGTTTAATCTTACGCGTTTTCCAGTTCGGCATCCTGGTTTTTGTATCCACACTCCTTTTTGTCGGAGCTGGAGGGTTTCGTTGTCTCTGAGATGAATTTGGGTTCTTTCGAGTCATCTTGTGAAGTACCTTTAGGACTAATTTTCAAATGGATAGGTTTAGTTTGATATGTCGCCACACGGCTCACATCTTATCATATTACTGAGCGAAAATCTGGGATTAGAATTAGTGTTATGTCTTTTGGTGGTAGTTGTAATCCGTACCTTATGCAAAGGTTTCTAGTCTAAAGACGCATCTAGATCTGCAGAATGATCTGTCGTCTGTGGAGTGAAAACATGCTTATTGTTCATGCGCTTTAAACTATTTACTGTGTTGCAAACCGTCTCTAGTTGGTTATTCGCTGTAAAACTATCATGCAATCATACCGCTTCACGTCTTCCTACACGACATTGACAGAGCGTTAGGTCTGGAGTGACTTTTATGCTATTGTATGCAGTTATTGAGCTAATAGTTTTGCTCGAATCGATAAACTGATTAGCATACTGTCTGATAGATTGTACTGACTTTTCGATGCACGTGAGTGCGGTGCATTTTAGGTCAACCAGTCTTAGCATTGACATAATGCACAAAGAGATAGAGGGGTTGTTACATGGAGAATCAAGTAGTGAAAGTGACATTTACGGATAAGACGCACAGGGTTCAGCAGGTTTGACATTCTCGTTAGATGCAGTAGCTACAGATCTTGACCTTTTAGTTGGCTTAGTAGTCGGTGAAATTTCTCTCTTACTAGAGTTACTTGCCACAGTTTGAAGCTGAGTAGGAAGCTCGTTTAACTAAATGGAATATCTGAGTACATAGTTACCATGAAGTATTAACCGAGTTAATACTGGGATAAGAGATTATGAGTATACTATGTATTTCAAATATAAGGCATTTAGTTATAAAGTAAGGGACTAACGATCGATGGAATATTTATATTTCAATTAGTGTAATCCAAAGATAAAGACGCGTCAATGTCAGTTGCTGGGGGCTTACATAAGATATGTGGGAAACGAAATCCGCGATATGTATGTATTAACTGGTAAGTATCCAAAGTTGTTTTCCTGGGGTAAAATGTGACTAACATTGCTGTCTTATCCTGTGTCGTTTAGATAATCTTCAGGATCATGTTTTTGGTGACGACTGATTCCTTAGATTTTCTGACTAAAGATGTAAAGACAGACTTTACTGAAAAATGAAGACGAAACAAATGTTACTCCTGACTTACTAACCGTCTGTCAAAAAACAGGAACCTGAAAACAGACTGTGGATCCTAAACTGAAATAAACTCCAATCTGATATGATGAAACTGAACTTAGTATATTGTTTGATTTTCCTCTAAACATGACCGATCAGGTTGCAAGATGTAGGATGTGTCTAGGGAATCAACACATTACCTCATTTCAACACATTGAGGGATTTCCTATAAGTTAATAAGATCTTATAGCCTTGCAACTAAGACTCAAGAAAACAATACTTTTCTTTTTCCATAAGAACTTTTAGTAACTCGACTCATAACATCCACTTTGTACAAGAATTATTCGGATAGATTAATAACAAAGATTTACGAAGATAGGGCTTTTCGAGATCATTATCTGTTTCTCTACAGCTGAAGACATGTTCGTTCTCTCAAGCACAGACGGCGCTTCTTTTAACGTCAGGGTCACCTCCGCGACCAATTAAAGTACTTCTGTCAGATGAGACGTCTTGGTAAAAATAAAAAAAGGCGATGGCAGTATTGCTACAAGGATATCGATGCTAAAATTCAAGACGCAGAACACCACAAAAGAATGTAAGTTGTGGTACTTATAAACTAACAAACCTCAGAATTGACGAGGATTTTACACAAGTGTCAACACTAAACAAAAAAAGTGAGTGACCTATCAAATCCGCTAACGGTGATTCAGACTACATCGTAAAGGGAGATAAGAATTCAGCGAAACCTTTCAACGATATCCCTAGCGCATGCGACAGAAGGTTGCATACTTCGCAACCAAAACTGGAGAAAAGAAAACTTATTGAGATCGATATCTGGGAAGGTTGTCCAGTTTTTGTTAGCACTTATTATTATTTAGATGTACCAGCTTCTATAATGCCTACTGGCAAAGGGTCTACTCTAGAAAACGCAGTCGATAAGAATCTAGGAAATCATTCCCTACCTTGTCCAGGACAATCATACAACCCGACTTTGCACGATCACTTATCCCTCATTTCACGAATAAAAGCCATCGAATCTGCAAAGCAAAAACTGGAGCTTAAAACAGAGCGCTTTGTTAGCAGTCTAAGAGGTGTTAACTCGGTAAGAATGATGTTCGCACTTGATATTTCCAGTCACCGAACCCTCTTAAAGATATGGAAAAGTTCCTTCAGTCATTAAATGCTGAGTCTCACGTTACAAAAAGTAGTGAAGACGTTGATGAGATTTTTCTGCCTCGAAAAAAGCCTAAAAAAGTGGACCCTCACAAAAAAATGAAAAACGATCTCGAAAAGTAAGACGAAGTAATAAGATTATTTTTCCAGTTTACCTAAGTTGCTTAAGGAAATCAAACGTGAAAAGAAAACCAGGGAAAGGCGGAAGTCAGCCGCCAAAGCTAAAAGCGAAATCCGTAGTAAACTGAAAAAAGTTGATCTGAACATACCATTCCAGTTGCCCAATGAGATATCGTCATCATTGAGAAAGTTGTGTGTAAGTCATACTTTTTCGGTTTTATAATTCTGTCCTAATCATAGCTAACTAAGTTATTCTACTGAACTGACAGATACTTGTAAACTTATTCAATCTGTCTCCTAATGAAGACAAAATCAAAGACACGGTTGGGAATTGATTAGCGTAGACTAATGCATATAAATGCGTCTTGCCGGTCAAAAACTTGATTCAAAGCGATGGATCTTTAGTGTGCTCACGTCGCACAATAGTCTATTTTGCGAGACAATTATAAGATTTACTCGTCTTGTAGATCTACTGAACTGTAGTTGGATGCAGCGCGCAGACACATCTTCTGGAAAACAATATTTCGACCTTAGTTTCTTACGACTTGTAGGTCGCGATTACCGTTGTTATTTCCTTCCTGCTACTTCCCTTTTGCGATGGGATGCCGATTGTGTAGTTCAACAACGATACTCTGATACATTTGGTAGTTTCTTTTGTAAATCGGTGCATATCAAGTTTTCAGTAATGTAGTATTCGGTCTGGGCACCCGGGCAGTATCGCAGCCCACACGCAAATAATGAACTCTCTATATCTATGGAAACTCCTTTCTCGCTTCGAATAACAATCAAATGATTATTATTATTATTTACGATATTATTTACCCTCTTTTATACTTATACAGTGGCTCGTCTTTGGTGAAAATTCGATTGTATCTAAACGTTCTCAAGTCACTGTCCGGTTGAAAATTGTACGTTACCACTGAATGTGAGTACTGAAGCAGTTTTTCTGAAACCACATGCAACATTCAAACTGGCAGCCTTCAACGTTCCCACACTTATGCAGGTTAGACAACAGATAGGGCTGGCTATGTCTTTGGAAAGTCTTAATATCGATGTTTGTTGTCTATCCGAGACCCGTATTCAAGACTCTGGCGAAGTACTACAAATTCGATCTCCATCTGTCGCTTCGAAAAGCTTGTTTTACGTGCGCTTATCCGGGGACCCTGTGGCATCTTCGTCTGGTCTTGCTGGCGTCGCACTAAGCGCTAGAGCTGAGGCAGCACTAATCGATTGGATCCCTGTTAACAGTCGGTTATGTGCTGTTAGATTAGAAAGTTCCATCAAAGTGAGGAGAAATCGGCGTGAGAAACGATGTCTTTTAGTCGTCTCCGCCTATGCTCCGACAGATTGCAGCCCGGATGCAATCAAGGTGTTAGCGGGACATAGACTAGACTAAAGCATGCTCAATGCATGATTGCTTTGGTGCACGCTGATTGGCTAATTCTTATCCAATCAGCGCCAGTCGATAGTTGGAGAATATTCTGGATTCTTCTTATGTAAAAACTATAAATATACCGACGTTTTCCCCTATTGTGCTTCCTACTGGCTTCTGACTTGCTATTTGGAATATAATCATTTTCCTGTTCAACCGTGTTCTGATTTTGGGACTCTGTCGAGTGAATCGGTGTCCGAGAATACTAAGCAATAGGAATAGCTGGGTCATTAACCGTAAGAAAACAGAGTTATAACAGTGGCGACGGGGAAAAACTAAAGAAAAATGGCGATTTCTTTAGAACAGTTGCGGTTAATATTACAGCACCAGCAGAAGTTGTTAGCCTTGCAACAACAACTATTGAACACACTTTTCACTCGACCAGAAAATAAGAAATCTGTTTATGATGCAGTAACAGACATTTCAGAAGCATATCTAGTGGAGGGTTCAAATCCCTTTATACCTGAATCAGAACGTAATATTTGTAACGTGTCCGGCTCACAGCAAGAAAATACTGTGCTGAATGCACATGAAGTTGTGACAATACCAGATGATCAGGAGCCAGGTCCTGTAGATGATGCCCAGAGTCCAGAATCAAATGAAACACTACTGGTACTGTCTAGCTGCGAAAATAAACGTCAGCTCGAACAAAATTGTGGTCCACGTGCTATTAGTCGAGAAAGCTATGGTGACTCGTATTCAGAAAATAACTGGAGCAACACGATGAACCAAATTGTACCAGATGTTACTCAAAATCACCGGAAGACAGAATTTTATATTGAGTCAACTTATCCCATTTCTAATGACAGTGTACCAGATATTGATTCTCAGAATAATGCATATGATTTTGATGAACCTTCTTATAACAATGAGGGAAATATGTCAGCTGAGTCGAATGATGGCCAAAAATCTAATCTAATTCTGTTAGGCGTTGACTTTCTTAATGACTCGTTATCAGCTAACGAGATTCATAATGAATTTGAAAATAATGAACTCAGATCAAAGGTTGTTCATCATCATCTAGTCATTTTTAGTGGATTCTCCAGTCAATACGAGAAGCATGGTTTAAATAAAGTCCTACTAGTTATAATTTGGAGCCATAAGGACCCAACATTATTTCGAGGAGGAGGAGAATGTTGGAGAATTAAAAGTTATGCATACTTTTTTTTAAGAAAAATCAAAACGCCGGGAACAGACATGTCAGTCTCTGGCAAGGAAAAAGTGATAATTCTTCATTGCCTAGACGATGGACTAATCGAAAGCACAAGCCAGTCACTCAGTTGCAGTTGGACCCTAGCACCAGATCCTACGAATCTGCTCAGAGGGGAGGTGTTAGCGGGACATAGACTAGACTAAAGCATGCTCAATGCATGATTGCTTTGGTGCACGCTGACTGGCTAATTCTTATCCAATCAGCGCCAGTCGATAGTTGGAGAATATTCTGGATTCTTCTTATGTAAAAACTATAAATATACCGACGTTTTCCCCTATTGTGCTTCCTACTGGCTTCTGACTTGCTATTTGGAATATAATCATTTTCCTGTTCAACCGTGTTCTGATTTGGGGACTCTGCCGAGTGAATCGGTGTCCGAGAATACTAAGCAATAGGAATAGCTGGGTCATTAACCGTAAGAAGAAACAGAGTTATAACACAAGGATGAGTTTCACCACCAGTTATCCGTTCTTCTCCAGAAAGTGCGTTCGACAGATATTGTAGGACTAGCCAGAGACTTGAATGCTCAGGTCGGGCGTCTAGGCACAGAAGAGAGTCGTTTAGGTGGCCGATGGGGACTCGTTGGTTGCAGGTCAGATAACGGGGACCTTCTACTGCAACTGTGCACAGACCATAACCTGTTTCTGGCTAGCACTAACTTTCGGCACAGTCATCGCCGATGTGCCACCTGGCGTCCTCCCTTTGCATCCCAAGCCTGGACTCAGATTGATCGCGTCGCGATCAGCTACCGCTGGCGTGGTTGTGTACAAGACTGCCGCTCCTTTTGGAGTAGCTATCTGGACTCTGACCATGCTTTGGTCTACGCCAATCTTACCTTACTTTTTAGTGGACAACGAAGTGACCGCCACCAACGGATTGATATTAGCAAGCTGGTTGCAACTCCTATTGCAAGTAAGTATCGAATCGAGCTAGCTTCTAGGCTAGCTACCACTCCACCGAAAAGTATAGATGAGCATTGGTTGCAATTGCATGACGCCATGAAAATGGCGGGAACAGTCAGTTGTGGGTTCGCGAAACGTCACGCTTACAAGCACTGGGTTTCTTCTGGCTCCTTACAACTCATTGAAGCCCGTCGGTCTACTCCGGGTGACCGTGAGTTTGACCATAAACGAAGGATTTTACGTACTGAAATTAGGCAAAGCTTGTGTAAGGACCGAGAAGCCTGGTGGTCGGAGCGTGCTAATGAGTTGGAAGCAGCAGCTGCATCTGGTAACTACTGGAAGCTCTTCCAACTCATCCGAGCCACTGGCAGCAAGAAGTCTGGTGTATGTGAAACAATCTGCGAGGATGATGAGATGCCAATCACTAACATCCATCGACGTCTTGGACGATGGGCAGAATTTTTCGAAGGGCAGTTCAACTGGCCTGCTGCTCCGGCAACATCGGTCAGACTGTCCTGTCCTCCATGGCCGGTGACGACTGATTCACCAAATGAGGTGGAAGTCTGCAGGGAACTCCAACTCTTGAAGCGCTACAGATCACCGGGCCCAGGTGACTTACCTCCGGCTCTTTTTGAAGATGATGGTGACCTTCTGGTTAAGGAACTGACAACGTTGTTTACAAGAGTCGGGGAACTAGAGAGTGTACCAACGTCATGGAATGAGTCGATAGTTGTCCCTATCTTGGTGCCTCCTTGTACCAATATCTACGTGTTAAAATAAATAAGTAAATAAAGTATGCGGATGATATTGTCTTACTGTGCGATAATGCCCAAGCGATGCAATCCGCACCTAATCAATTGGCAATCAGTGTCCGTAGGTACGGTATGTGCTTTGCACCTTTGAAGTGTAAAGTACTTCTAAAAGACTGGCAGGATTCTAATCCTGTACTCACCCTGGATGGTGAGCAGATAGAAGTAGTCGAGAAGTTCGTGTATCTGGGTAGCTGCATAAGTGCTGGTGTTGATGAGATCGATTCACGTATAGTTAAAGCCAGAGCGGCTTATGCCAATCTGGGCCACCTTTAGCGCTTTTGTGATGTTAGTCTGGCTGTAAAAGGTCGGATCTACAACGCGTCGGTGAGAGCAGTTTTGCTCTATGCTTGTGAAACCTGGCCTCTCCGAGTTGAGGATGTTAAACGACTCTCTGTGTTTGATCATCGTTGTCTCCGAAGGATTGCTGACACCCAGTGGCAACATCATGTTAGTAATGCAGAGGTTCGGCATCGTGTGTTCGGGCTCAGTGACGATAATCCGATTGGTGTCACCATCTTGAAACACCGACTTCGGTGGCTTGGACGTGTTCTACGAATGTCATCCCAGAGAATTCCACGTCGTGCATTATTTGCCGACGCTGGGACTGATTGGAAAAAAGCGGAGAGGTGGTCAGTGCATGACATGGTGTCGTGGTATGAAAGGAAGCTGCAAAGGGCTGGCTTCTGTCGGTCCTTCACGACTCCCTGGTTGGGGTCCGAGAGATGGTGTAACATAGTGGCTAGAGACGTTATCAGATATGGCTCAGAGTAGAAGCCAGTGGCGATCCTGCTGTAACCTTTCTTCATAAAAAGTGGTTGTGTCTCCCTTAACTGAAAGATTTCTTCTGATTGTACCTTTCCGTTCCCTCATTATTACTATTACTATTACTACACTACCTCACACCAACCTCTTCGTTATTGTTTTTTTTTCACGCCCCTTATCTTTTTTTTCCTTCTCCTTAAATTCTCATTGTTTTGTGTGGCGCATATATATTGGCGCTCTCTTGTACCAATATTTATGTGTTCAAATAAATAAATAAATAATAATAATCAGTATACAGCAAAGTCGGTTAGAGTTTGTGTGCGATGTATTAATTCATCAATTATAAATAGTTGCGTTTTAGTTTAAACTATATATGTATGAAGGCTAGTTTTTTACTTATTTGTCCTGATCAAAGCAGGTGCGTAAAGTGCTTAAACAGTCTATTTCCGCACACACGACCTAAGGCCGAATCACTTAGTCTCGTGACTGGTGTTTCCTATGTGCGGCAAAATCAGTGTTCACGTTTAAACAGCGTTATGCGTAAAAACTTGTGGTTGACGAAGTTATCACGCAACATCCTTTTATAATGTCTTGATTTAGAAAGTCATCATGTCAACTGTCGACTTGAAATAATATTAATGCATAAACTTCCCAATCTATTTTCATAAACCAATTATGATCATTCTATTTTAGCCGGAAGGTTATCTATTTCATGAGGTTGAACGTCGGCGGAACAGATGTCCACGTGCTCGGAAAACGTTGGGTAGCAAAAGCAAAAGCACATCATTTGAACGCAAGCGCTAAGTTAATACATTAATGTAATCTTTTAGATTGCTTGTAAATATGTGTGAGTATTATCCAGCGAAACCGGTGTTTTCTTATTTACCGTAAAATGCATTGACTGTATTTCACAGCATTCAGTAGACCAGTCATTGCTAAACACAAAACCTGCCATGAGGGTTCATTGTTCCTTGGATATATTCTAATTTTTATAACATAAACTTTTCTTGGAGAATGAAAAAAATACCTTATAAGTTTGCGTTTGAGCTACTCCGACTCCTTACCATTCATAAATTCAACAAAAATCACAGATAAAACAGTGTTGGGCAGTTGTGGGCAGCTGCATAAACTTATAAGTAAGAATATTGTTAAGCGTATAGCACTAAGTCCTACGGCAGAACTAGCTCTCTTAGACTGGATCCCAGTAGACAGTCGTTTGTGCGCTGTCCGACTGAACGGAACAGTAAGGATCCGAAAAGATAGGGACACTCGTCATCTCTGCCTACTCTCCCACTGACTGCAGCTCAGGTGATGTAAAAGATGAGTTTTACAGAAAGCTTTTCGACCTCCGAAAAGCTAGGCGCTCGGATGTAGTCATAGTGGCTGGTGACTTTAATGCTCAAGTAGGTAAACTAAGCGAAAGGGAAAGACACCTGGGTGGATCTTATGGTGTCGTGGCTCAAAGAACAGATAATGACGACCGTCCGTTGCAGCTATGCTCAGATAACCGCCTGTTTCTTGCAAATACTAACTTTAAGCACAAGGAAAAACATCTTTTAACATGGCGACCCCCTAATTCGTCCCAACGTTTGATCCAAATAGATCACATCGCTATCAACCACCGATGGAGGGGCTCGATAGAAGACTGTCTCTCATTTTGGAGCACGTGCTCATATTCAGATCATGCTCTAGTGCGAGCGCGTATTTTCTTGCGTCTTACTGGACGTAGGAAAGACGCTGCAAGGAAACCTCTTAGGGGCCTACGTAATGATGGTCAAGCAAAGAGTATATTTCAGGAACAACTAGGAGAACAGTTAGGCAGCCATATATGTGATGCCCACCCCGAGGCAGCATGGAATGATATCCGAAAAGCTGTGGAAACAGCAGTGATATCTGTTAGTACGGTAAACCACAAGGTTAGGGAGAAACACTGGATCTCAGCAGCATCTACCGCACTGATTGATGCTCAAAAACTCATTCCACCTGGCTCTGAACATAATGAAGAGCGGAGTCAGCTTAAGCGCAAGCTGATGAAAGCCTACACAATAATCGTGAAGTAGTGGGTAGCGGAAGCAAGAGAGATGGAAAAGGCAGCGGCAATAGGTAACAGCAGACAATTGTTCAGACTTGTTAAGGAAACCGGTATTAGGAAGCCGACTGTTAGCGAAACACTCTCAGAGAAAGATGGACATATTATACATTCTCAATCCAGGAGATTGGATCGATGGGCAGAACATTTTAGGGATCAGTTCAACTGGCCTTCAGCCACACTTCGGTTTCCCACGATCTCCAGTCAACCTGACTGGCAAGTTAATATAGGTCCTCCGTCCATTTACGAAGTTGAAAAAACTAGGAAATCTGGAGCGTGGGAGAGCGGCAGGCCCTGACAGGTTTACTCCTGAGATTTTTAAGGATGGTGGTCCAGTATTAGCAGTGAGATTAACTGAGGTCTTAGGTAGAATTTGGGAACTGGACGTAATCCCATCTGACTGGTCTCAATCACTGATTGTGCCAGTCTATAAGAAAGGACAAAAATCCTCTTGTGACAATCACAGAGGGATCAGTTTGACAAATATAATGTCTAAAATATTAGCTTCAATAATACTTCGACGCCTAACTAATGAGGTAGGACAACTTAAACCAATGCATATATATGCCTGGTCTTACGTTGTAGCTGACTGACTGACAATGCAAGAGCAGATAAGTTTTTGAAGTATTTTTATCTTTCAGTGGTAAAATAACAACACTGGTCGCTTACTAATTAGGTACTGCTTTAGAACAACACATAGACGAGCAATTTTGTTTTCAGTTAGATTCTTGTCAGTTTTTAATATACAGTAGTATTTATATGGATTTATAAAGACAATAAACCAATATAGGCAGTTTATGAGTCAGTGGCAACAGTGAAACAGGTTACATAAATAGACATGATAAGTAAAAAGTATACATTGATAGTATGACGGCAGGTGTACTAGTTGTGAGAATAGTAAAAACCTGAATCAATGTCCCACCACAGAAAGTAGGTCGACAATTCGGGAACGTCGACACTGGAACAACACTCGCTGTTAATTATGGAAATTACTTCGAAGTGTTCAAATAGTTCGACTGTGAATTGTATATTTGAAAAAAGTGAACTTGTAGATACACATAAATGTGGCGAAACCATGTAGCTTATCTTTTAGTTATGGAACCTCCGTAGCCTGTTAGGAAACAGTAGACAGGTTAGCCGCTGTAAAGATAACTGCTCTAGTTAGATCTACCTTGTGCTAAATCGCTAGCTATATATCAGTTGAAGTGTAGCCTTTGTAAGAGGTTTCTGGGCAAGCGTTGATATCATTACATTTCTGTTCACTATATACAATTGTTTCGTCAGAAAATCCGGTGTTCGTCTTGCTGTGCTAATGTGTGGCAACTTGGACCGATACATGTATGTGCCTTCTTCTACGTTGTAACTGACTGACAGAAAACCTTGTAGATAACCCATTTAAATTAACATGGTACCCAAGCATATCTAGCCAGCTCTAATTGCAAGATATCTTAATATTACCGCTGAACAATATCACATGAAAAAACCACCAACCAGAATCTCGATTAATATGACTTAAAATTTGTAAATTTTGAACAACATATATAAGCGAACAATATTGTTTTCGATTAGATCCTCACCAGGCTTTACTCTAATATACAGTAATATTTATATGCATATACGAAATTATGAAACCAATCAAGGTAGTTTATGAATCATTGATAATAATGGAAAATAAGTGGAAATTACAGGTGTACTAGTTTTGATAAGAATAATAAAGGCTTAAATCAATTTTAAACAATCGGAAATAGGTCAGTGATTAGAAAAAAATATAGGGGATCCGATTGCATTTAAGGTACTCAGTGAGTTCCTAAAGTTGAATGCTCGTCTCACAAAAGCGAAAATATCGTTGGAATTAATGACTGTATACGGACTGAGAGATATCCTAAAATATATTGGAAATCTTTACGCCGGAACAAAATTTATCCTAATGCTAGAACTCTTAAACGACAAACACTCGACCAAACAGATTCATCAAAAATGCACATAAACAATCTGGAAAGAAATCTTTCACAAAGAGAATCTATGGTCGATAACCTACCACAGGAAATAAAATCACAATTTATGGATTATATTAACAGGGTAGCGAAAAGTAGACTAGAAAAATTAGAGACAAAACTAATTCAGTTACTGGAACCTCATAAACCTGAAAGAAAATTTCCTATGGACCCTGAGCGGTACGTTCATAACTTTTCTAGTGTTACGTTAGACAGAGTGCAAGTAGAGGCTTTGTCGCTCGGACCTAGATTTTGTGACTATGGAAATAAAATAAATCAACCAGATACAGATGTGCAGTTTGAAAATCTATTTACACACAATAGATTTGGTGCTCACTTCACCAGATGAACTCACTACGTTTAAGATCACGTTAGTGGACATCTGTCAACAATACAAAAATAGTAAATGTACTGTGAAAACTCCACTTACCAAACACAGAGATGCTTTACATATGCTTACAAAAGACAAAACTCTAATCATAAGCAAGCTGGACAAAGGAGGAGGGCTAGTTCTAATGAACATAGCCGATTACATTGACAAAATTAACTCGACTTTGAATGATCCGACTAAATTTCAAAAACTTAACGACGTGAAGGAAATAAATATGAAGGCAGAAAAATTACTGACCAATTCATTTAAGGAATTAAAAAATAAAGGTATACTTACTCCAAACATACACGACTCATTTAAACCCACTGGATCGAACTCATCGCGGCTATATGGTCTACCCAAATTTCACAAGACATATCTTTCTCTTCGCCCAGTTTTAGATATGTATAGTTCGCCTTATCATAAAACTACAAAGTGGGAAGTCCGAATCTTGGATCCCTTACACAAACTAGTCGTCAACAGAAGCGTGAAAGACGTCTTCGATTTCATTTCTGAAGTGGAACATATGAACTTAAATGGGAAACGGATGATATTTCTAGATGTTGCTTCCCTGTTCAACAATGTACCTTTAACTGAGACTATTGAATTGGTGTGCCAACAACCACAAGAAAAGGAAATCAGTAATGGAAATCTTGAGGTTAGTCTCAAAGAAGTACTTCCGAAATTTACAATGAATGTCCATTTTGTCTTTAATAACACATTATAGACAAATTGATGGTATAGCTATGGGTTCACTTCTAGGTACTATCCTTGCGGATTTTTTCTTGCGAAACTAGAAAACAGACCTCTCAAATAGGTTATCAATAAGTTTGACTTCTACTGTCGTTACGTTGATGACGCTTTCATTATTATCGACCATAATATTAGAAAAGAACTATTTAACAACAAACACTCAGCAATCAAATTAACACGTGAAGAGGAAATGGGTAATAAACTTCATTTCCTTGACGCTTTGTTAAATAGAAAAAAAAGGTTCTATCGGTAGAAATGTGTCTAGAAAAGGCTCTTCATCAAGCCAATACACACATTTCTTAAGCTTCCTACTTCATTATAAGAGAAACTTAGTCAAATGTCTGGTAAATAGAGCTATTACGATATGCTCAGTCGACACAATTGATAAGGAATTAGAGCTCATTCCTAATATGTTGATTGAAATGGGCCATCCACAGGGTTTCCCGAAGAAACACTTGCGTGTAACAAATAAGAAAATAGCGACATAAACGGCCAGTAAGAAACCTCTTTTCTTGAAGCTGCAATCCAATGAAGATAGAGCTGGTGATGTATTACGTGACAGACTGACTAGAGCAGTGAAGAGAGCGCTTAATGCAGC